AAACTGGCACTTCCTTTCTTTATTGTGTTAAGGAACTGGACTTGTGTAGATTCACTTCATATGTCCCTAAGGTAACAGAAATCATTATCTTGGGTTTGGAGGTTCTGATTTCCTGTTAGGTTGTTGGCTGTTGAACAATTGAACTTAGAAAAACGCAACACACTTAAGGCTCTTCTGGATGGGAATAATGATCTGGTACCTGTGAACAACATCCTATCTACCTGAACCCTCATCAGATTTAATCTTGTTTTGGGGATTAGGGTAGATTTTTACATTTTATTTTTTCATATTTTTTAAAAAATAAGAAGCTGCTACACCTTTTTTTAAAAAAGAAAATCTAAATTGTAGCACAGGTAAGATCTGATAAAACCCATGTTGATCAAAAGTATTTATGGGTAATAAAAACAGATACTGCAATCAACACAGCATTTTGAAATGTATGCACAAGAATATGGAGGAGGAGACATGAAAGAGACTGTAATGTATGTTGCCTACTTGGGAGGAGGGTAAACTAGTCTGCTGGGTTTCTTTGAGGAAATGAAGGAATATGTCTTTACTTTGAATGCTTCTATTTCTTTCATGAGCTTTCTCAACCTGATGCCATTGACATAGCAGCATTGGGTGGCAATCAGGGAAACATATCCTAACGTACCTGGAAAATCCATGTTGAGTAACACTATTGTTTATTTCTTAAATTTATATGCTTCCCACCTTATCAAAAATCCTTTTAGCCAAAAATCCTTGACTGACAGGGTTAGCAGTATGCATCCTCTGCCAGCACAGGTAGTTCTGTACCATTATCTAGAATCTGCAGTTTCCTGTGTATGAAATGGGAAATTTGTTGAGCTGGATGGGTGACAACAAATGTAACCTGGTTTTTGCAACTTAGATCTTACCCTTGCCTACAATTTAGATTTGTTAAGCTAAGTTATTTTCCTCAATGCTTTACCAATTTATTTTCTGTGAAATGTATATTATATATAAAACAGGAATTCAGAAGAGTTGTATTTCAAAATTTCCCTCTTTTGTATACTTATATTGTTGAACAAATTTTTTCAGCCTTAGACACTGGAAGGAATCTTGGAGGTTTTCTAGTTTAATCCCCTAGCCAAGGCAGAAGTGCCCTTATACCTTACCAGAAAATTGTCCAATCTTTTCTGGAAAACTTCCAAGGATGGATGACCCACCAGTCCAGGAGACAAGCTATTTCATTGTTTAATTGTTTCCATTGTCAGGAAAATCCTCCTTAATTCTAGACCGGGTCTCCCTTGATGAACTTCCATCCGTTGCTTCTTGCCCCGCCTTCAGGTGATATGGAGAATAAATTGAGCCCCTCTTTCATGTAACAGCCTTTCAGATATTGGAAGAAGACTATCATATCCAAACCTTCTCTTCATTAGGCTATACATATCTAGGTCACTTAGCCACTACATTGTACAATGTAGTAGTAGACTACAATTTTTATTGTCCATATTTGTTTTTTGTTTTTTAAATAGCCATTTTGTCCAAGTGAAAAATCCTGGAAGCTCTGCCTTCGAGCTGAACTCACCTGAGAAGCATCTTGCATCAGGCTTCTTCAAGTATCTTGTATTTGTATACAAACCTAGTAGTGAAATGGGCGTTTTCTGTTCATGTGGCTCCAAGTCCTGGACAGAGCTTTCATTCCGGCCCCAAAAACTCTTTAAAGTTCCCATTACACTGCCTGGACAAGCAAGGTCCAGGAAAAGAAGTGAGCTTTTTGAGATTAACCATATTCTTCTAGCAGCTATTTTATGAAAGTGTTCATGAAATCTTTCAAGTATTTTTGCTGGTCCCTTTTGATGTTGCTATATCCCATCCACACACCCCATTAAAAAAAACTGATAATGTTTAAAAGACAATATTTACTCTATGTTTGGAAGATAAAAGTATTGATCAAATTTACTAATGTAAGACTTATTGATGAACAATATTTTATCACTGTAACAATGAAAAAAGTGCATTCAGAATTAATATATGCACTCAGTGTGTGATTATGATACCTATTTGACTTTATAGCCTGGCACTTACAATTATGGTCTTTGTGAATTATGGTGGAGGAAAATATTGGTTCTTCAAGCATCAGAGCTGGAATGGTAAGATATTTAAAATCCATTTGTCCTCCCATATTAATTATATAAAATGAAATTGCCTCATTTACTCTTCTGCTTTGGGAGTTCAGGAGTTTTTAAAATATCACTGTTCTAACTAATGTTCAGCAAGACTAACTGATAGTTGTAGTTGGACAAGCAGCCATGAGAAAGAGAGAGAAAAGGGAGGAATGGGGCTTGTATGTAGTTTGAAATAGAAGCCTCGGAATAAATGCTTCTTTTTTAACTTATTTCACTCCAGAATACTACTTCGCAATGTGCTGACCCTGTATTATGTGTTTTAGAAAGTTCAGAGTTAACTGTTAATAATACTTTAGAACCAAATATTTTATTTAAGTATCTAAGAATAGTAATTCTCTATTGTTATGAACATTAATTGTATGTTAATATCTGTTTCTCTTTATAGGCTTAACAATAGCAGACCTCGTTTTTCCATGGTAATTCATGTTGATTGTTAATAGCTTGAATTTAACTGAGTCCATTCAGAAGAAATCATATGGGAATAACTCTAATTTGGCCTATCAGTTTGATCAGGACAAGTTTAGTTGGATTCCTAATCATGAAAATGGTTCATGTTTCCAGTGACTTTCTGTAAACCATAGTTTTAGAGTAAAATTCTAATAAGTACATGCAGTTCCAAAACTTTATTTTTTAAAAAAATGTTGGATTTTTTAACTAAAATCCCTAAAGTCATTTCCAGAACATAAATATTACAACATTGTCATGCAGTTTATTTATCAGAAGGTTGTTCTAGATTTCCCTACCATAAGAGAGACCCACTGACTGTTTCTCAAGGAGAGAAATCCTCATCTCAGCTACAATCAGTTGCAAATGTGACATCACCTTGTCTTTTATTGCTCTTTCCACCTCTGCTGGCTCAAACTTGAACTGCTGGCTCAAGTTTCCTAAGTGGTCCATCTGCTCAATTTCTTCCATCATAGGCAGATGTTTCATTGCTGAGAAAGGACTTGGATTGGAAGTTCATGCAGGGAGTGCTTCTTGAGCTGACATAATTTTCTGCTGGTTTCCCTCTCCTTTGCACTATGTTCTTCTGCAGTTTTCCTCAGGAAATCAAAGTATCCATCCTTTCACACTGCTATCATGTCTCCCCTAGTCCTTCTTTTCATTAGACTAGATATACCCAGTTCCTGCAACCATTCTTCATATGTTTTAGCCTCCAGTCCGCTAATCATCTTTGTTGCTCTTCTCTGCACTCTTTCCAGAGTCTCAACATCTTTTTTATATCATGTCGACCAAAACTGAATGCAGTATTCCAAGTGTGGCCTTACCAAGGCATTATCAAGTGGTATTAACACTTCATATGATCTTGAGTCTGTCCCTCTGTTTATGCAGCCTAGAATTGTGATGGCTTTTTTGGTAGCTGCTGCACACTACTGGCTCATATTTAAATAGTTGTCCACTAGGACTCCAAGATCCCTCTCACAGTTATTACTATTGAGCAAGATACCACATATACTGTACCTGTGCATTTGATTTTCTTGCCTAAATGTAGAACCTTACTTTTTTCACCATTGAATTTCATTTTGTTAGATAGCGCCCAATGTTCAAGTCTGTCAAGATCCTTCTGTATCTTAAGCCTACCTTTTGGAGTGTTGGCTATTCCTGCCAGCTTGGTTTCATCTACAAATTTGATGAATTCCCATATATCCTCTTGTCCAAGTCATTGATGAAGATGTTGAAGAGTACTGGGCGTAAAACAGCCTTGGGGTACTCCACTGCATACTTCCCTCCATGTAGATGCAGTTCCATGAAGACTACACATTGAGTGCGGTTGGTCACGAATCCATCTGGAGGTGATACTGTCTAACCCACATTTTTCTACTTTATCTAGTAGTAGGTTATGGTCTACTTTATCAAATGCCTTATTGAAGTCCAAATAAATTATATTGACAGCATTCTTCTATATTTCAGTAGATGTCTATTTCAATATTTTTCCTTCTTAAGATTTAAAAGAATTTTTACCAGTGATAATAATGTGATTTCACCGAGGAAGTTCTACTACAAAAAGTGGGGACACATCAGTGCTGTGTTGTTGGCATTTATTCCTGTAAAGTGTAACTTTCTTTTCACTTCATTAGTGATTGCACTCTGATCCAAAAGCCTCTAAGCAGGTGCTGACACACAACAGAAGCAAAACATAATGTCTATAAATGGATATAAAATAATATTGTTGGAAGAACAGTGGAGGTCTTCAGTGGAGGTCCCCTGCTAAGCAAGAGACTCTGTGCCACTTCAGATAAGTGGCTGCCCAATTTCTTCTCAAAAACCTCCAGTTATGGAACACCCACAACTTCTGGAGGCAATCTATTCCATTGATTAATTGTTCTTGCTGTCAGAAATTTCTCCTTAGTTCTAGATCGGCTCTTTGATAGATTTCCATCAGTTACTTCGCGTTCTGCCTTCAGGTGCTTTGGAGAATAGGTCAACCACTCTTCTCTATAACATCTCCTCAAATGTTGAAAGGCTGCTATCATGTCACCCCTTACTCCTTTTCTTTGTTAGATTAGACCAGGGGTCTTTAAACCTGACAGCTTTAAGACTTGTGGACTTCAACTCCCAAAATTTCTCTTCCAGTTACGTTAGCTCAGGAATTCTTGGAGTTGAAGTCCACAAGTCTTAAATTTGCCAAGTTTGAAGATCCTTGGATTAGACATACCCAATTCCTGCAACCGTTTGTCATATTTTAGCCTCAGTCCCCTAATTATCTTTATTGCTCTTCTCCACTTTTTCTAGAGTCTCAACATCTTTTTGTATTGTAGTGACCAAAACTGGACACAGTATTCCAAATGTGGTCTTATCAAGGGATTATAAAGCAGTACTATACGTGATCTTGATACTATCCTTTTGTTGATGCAGACTAGGACTATGTTGCTTTTTTGGCAACTGCAGCACATTGCTGGCTCATACTTAAGTCATTGTTCACTAGGCTTCCCAGATCCCAGTTTACTGCTCTTGAGTCAGGTATCACCTATTCTATTCCTGGGCATTTGTTGTTTTTTTTGCATAAGTGTAAAACCTTTTCTCATCACTGAATTGCATTTTGTTGGATAGGGGCCAGTATTAAAGCCTATCAAGTTCCTTCTGGATATTGAGACTGTCTTTTAAAGTGTTGGCTATTCCCTCCAGCTTGGTGTCATCTGTAAATTGGATGAATTTCTCTTCTATCATCTCATCCAAATAGTTTATGAAGATACTGAAAAGTATTAGGCCTAAAACAGAATCTTGAGGTGCCCCCCACTTTATGCTTGCCTCTATATTGCTATAGTCTCATTGAGAATTACACTCTGAGTGCAGTTGGACAGCTAACTGCAAATCCATCTGGTGGTGATGCTGTCTATCCTACATTTTTCTATATTATGAAGAAGTAGGCTGTTTGGGTAAAGGAGGAGTTTTGGATGAAAATTTGGAAAGTAACAGAGACAAGGAATGCTCTTGCCAAATTAATAAGTGTAAAAATACAATGTTGGAGTAGTTGATCTTTGATCATATAAAAAAAGTTCAACATAGACTGTACTATGGAGCCCACAAAAGAACTGTTGAGAATATGAATGCCAAAGACAGCTCAAGTCTTTTGCATTTTCTAGTAATATTGACACAAAGAATTAGTTTTCTGGAATTCTTTGTAGATCTTTGGGGAAGAGAGGAACTGTTCAACTATTTCTCTAATATTCAAATTGTCCTCCTTTCATTGCCAATACAAGATTCATACCTGTTTTTCTACAGTTTCTCAGTTATTGAATTAATTTGATCCTCATATAGTATATGTCTTTTTCTGATTTTCTGTCTCTCCTTTTCCTTTCTAGGTTTGTATTTATTATGGGCACCTCTGTTTCATTGTCTCTCAGTGCTATGTTGAGACGGGGTTGTTCCAAATGGCAGTTGCTGGGCAAAATCTTATGGAGAAGTCTCCTCCTGTTTTTAATAGGACTCATAGTTATAAACCCAAATTATTGCCTTGGACCACGTAAGTGCTAAGAGATTTATATATATACATATATTTATATTGACTAAAAATGTGCCCCTTAGTTTGTATATCATGATAGAATTTTGGGAAAAACTGAAATTCATACCGGTGCAACTATGTACAAATCGTTGCAACTATATAAGTTCTTGCAAAGCACTACCATGTTTCCATGAAAATAAGATCTATCCTAAAATAAGGCCTAGCTTGATTTCTATGGGTGCACCTAATATAAAACCTAGCCTAAAAATACATCCTAGTTAAGACCCTGCCCAATCTATCCCATCGTCTGGTTGTATGAGATGGGATGAGATGCATGTGTAAAAATCAAGCTGGGGTGAGTGGGGGTGGAGCTGTCCTATGTGCCCCACACCCTTAGGACCATTGTAGCCAGGCCTTCAATGCCCCGACAGCTGTCCCGCCACTGCCCAACTTCTGCCGCCACTCACAGATGGACACCATGTGGTTCATCACACCGGTGCCACATCATGCCAGTGTCTCCGCTCATGGCTGGACACCATGTGCATCGCACCAGTGCTGCCAATTGCGGCAGGAGGCTGTGTGGCTTGTCATGCTGGTGCTGCTGCTTGCACAGGTATGAGCCACCAGCATTCCGTGAGCAGTGACATCGGCACATTGCACCACGTGGCGGCTTTCCACAAGTGACTGTAGAAGAACTTTGGCAGCAGTGAAACAGGTGTAAGGATATGGGAGTCCAGGTTGCGATAGTCCTAAGGTAAGCAGATAAGACATCGCCCAAAAATAAGATCTGGCGCTCATTTGGGGTTAGTTACCTTTCATATTGTTTCTAAATCATTGTAACACTCACCTCACCTTAATACACATATAGAGGGTATATCTAAATATTATAAAGTGATTGGAATGAAATGACTTTCGAACCAACATGATAGTTTGGAGGATAAATTTATTAACATTTAATGCAGGTATCAGAATTAACGATTTTTATTTTGTTGATTTTTATTCATATTTCTAATCCAGTGTATCATTTTGGAGAAACCTAGTTGACAAAACATTATTCCTTTTTTCTTCTATTATTTACCTTAGAAGTTACAGAAATTAATGTTGTTTAGTAAAATTATCTTATCTATACATTGAAGAGATCCCCACCACCATCACCACATACTCTGCAGCCTGAAATCCTTTAATTTACTCATATTATCTTCCATGTTCTCTTTGTTAACCTTGAGTACTAAGAATTTTAAAAATGGTTAAAGAAAGCTTTACTGCATTCTTTCATACAGAGATTTAATACATGTCAGTTAAGTTACCTGGCCTTAAAATCCATGTCATGTGAGCAATAAAAGCATATTGTTACACTTAATTTCCAGACATACTTTTTCTTGATCTTTCAGACCCAATCTTTATCATCAGCAGGTTGAAATGTTA